TTTCAGGGAAACAGGGTGTACACAGGCCCATGTCTCCTCTTGAAGTCTGAGGCATCCTTTAAGGTTGAATCCAAATTTCAAGGACAGATTTCCATAGTTAAAAATAATTTCTATTGCTCCTAACCCTAAAGAAAATTTCACTTGAAATATAGCATATGTTAGTATAACTCGATTTTTGTTTTGTTTTGTTTTGTTTTTCAGTACAGACAATTGAACCCAGAGTCTTTGCACTGAGATATATCCTCAGCCCTTTTTTGCTTTTTGAGACAGGATCCTAAGCTACTGGAATTACATGTAGGTGCCTCATGTGCTAAGTATTTGCATTTTTAACATATTCGACTTTGTCCCAAAAGTCAGAGTCTGGTATTTAGGCCCATTTGAGTAACTATGAGTGGGTTAAGAGAGTTGGGAGTGAAAAATTGTGATTCTGTGGATTGAGAAAGAAAGGAGCTTTAAAAGAACACAAAAGTAGAGTTTTACTTTTAAAAAAGTATGTGAGAAAAGTAGGAAAGAGAGGGGAAAAAGACAATGACCCACAGGGCGAGAGAAAGGGCATCAAGTACAAATGAGAACTAAGTTTATTATTTCTCATTAATATGACGGGGAAGGCACTAAAAGTGCAATCCAGAAGCCAAATGCTCGCTTGAGATCCCTTAGAGAGCACTCAGTGCAGACGAAGTCCCTTTCTTTCTTTCTTGTCTGCATGACCAGCAGGAAGGACATCACTGAGTACGTGATTTTAATTACTTGCCTTGACTGGTAGATTCATTCTGTTAGTTTTTATAGAGTTATAGTCTTTGTCATCACTTTCTATAACATCCTTCAGAACACTTTGGAGTGCTGGTTTTGTGGTAATGGAGCTCTTCAGGTGTTCTTTGTTCTGAAAGTATCTTAGTTCTCCATCAATTTTGAAAGATAATTTTGTGGGGTACATCAATCTGGGTTGGAGGTTGTTTTCTTGTAGGGCTTAAAATACTTCACTCCAAGCTTTCCTTGACTTAAGTGCTCATGTTGAGACGTCTGATATAATTCTGATGGGCCTTTATTCATAAGTGATTTGTTTCTTTTCTCTAACAGCTTTTAATATTCTATTCTTGGGTTGAATTTCTGGAATCCTGCCTACTATATACCTTGGGGTACATTTTCTTTGATCATGGCTAATTAGAGTTCTATATGCCTCACTTACTGCATGTCAAATTCTTTTTCCTTCCTTGTGAAGTTTTCTGCCATTACTTCTGTGAAAAGGTTTTTTTTTTTATGTCATTTGCACTGTCTCTTATTTTTTCATTGATCAATCTTATGTTATTCTCCTTTTCATCATCTAACAGCTGTTGTATTGACTTTTCACAGTCACTTGCTATTTTTAAGAACTCTTTTCATGATCACTAACCACAATCTTGTCTTCTATATCTGATATTCTGTCCTCACACTGGTTCATTCTGCTATGTATACATTCAATGGAATTTTTAATCTCCTAGATATCTGATTGAATCTATTTCATTTCTTTCTTATGTTGGGCATTCATGATTTCCATCATTTTCCTAAGCTGTTTTTTTTTTTTTATGGGTATCTTCTCTAGATTCCCTAATCTTGTCCTTTATTATGGCTATCATCTATGAAGTTATCTGAGAAATTGTTTCTGATTTTTTTTTTGAAGGGCCTCATTCATTTGCTTTGTTACTTCTGTGGTTACCACTTCAGAGAGTCCAGGTGAGCTTTTGAATTTTTCCACCTCATTGCCGCTGGGTTTGCCTTGGGTGAACTGGAAGTGTTGAGCTGCATCTAACTTCTAAGTGTTGTCATTTTCTATTTTTTAATTCCTCTGTTGATGCTTGCAAATAATTTATGATAGCTATCTCTATTGCTAGTATTTAGAATCTTAGGAAATGACTGCTTTTCAGAGATGTCTTCCAGGTATGGCTAGCTTTTCAGTTTTGATTCTGTTGCAAGATCCTACCTCTTAAATTTATTAGGGATGAGAAGTTGCTGCTTACTTAACCTAGCCCCTGCATCTTTGGCACTGGCCTATAGTATTGTTTGTGATTGTCAGGCAGTATCAATCTTGGCATACAAGAAAAAACACCTAATTAGAAAAATTATGTCACCTTGGCTAAAGCAGTACAATCAGGAAAAACAACAGCATCAAACACGTCCTAGAAAATGATAGCCTGTGGTGACTATTAATTTGCCACCTTTAGCCGTATGAACAGAACAAAACAAAC